AGAGGGAGGAGGCCAGTGTATTAATTTGAGGGCGGGCGAGGTCACTGTATTAGTTTGAGGGAGGGTGGGTGCCATTGTATTAATTAATTGAGGGAGGGAGGAGGCCAGTATATTAATTTGGGTGAGGGAGGGAGACCAGTGTATTAATTTGAGTGAGGAAGGAAGCCAATGTCTTAATTTGGGGGAGGAAGGAGGCCAATGTATTAATTTGAGGGAGGGTGGGGGGCACTGTATTAAAGTGGGGGAGGAGGCCAGTGTATTAATTTGAGGGAGGGAGGGGCCAGTGTATTAATTTGGGGAAGGAGGGGGCCACTGTATTAATTTGAGGGAGGGTGGGGGCACTGTATTAAATTGGGGAGGGGCCAGTGTATTAATTTGGGAATAGAGGGGCCACTGTAGAGGGAGGGTGTGTATTAAAGTGGAGGAGGAGGCCAGTGTAGAGGGAGGTGTATTAATTTGGGGAATAGAGGGGGCCACTGTATTAATTTGAGGGAGGGTGGGGGGCACTGTATTAAAGTGGAGGAGGAGGCCAGTGTATTAATTTGAGGGAGGGAGGGGGCCAGTGTATTAATTTGGGGGTGGACGAGGTCAGTGTATTAATTTGAGGGAGGGTGGGTGCCAGTGTATTAATTGAGGGAGGGAGGAGGCCAGTATATTAATTTGGGGGAAGGAGGGGGCCCATGTATTAATTTGAGTGAGGAAGGAAGCCAATGTATTAATTTGGGGGAGGAAGGAGGCCAATGTATTAATTTGAGGGAGGGAGGGGGCCAGTGTATTAATTTGGGGAAGGGAGAGGGCCAGAGTATTAATTTGAGGGAATAGAGGGGTGTGAAGAAACTATACCTTTTTGTTTCATTACCTTTGATTTTTCCTCATTCTGCAAAACTACTGAACACCGACCACACCCCAGCTCATTAACTACAAAGTAGACCGCAAGTTAAATGCCCTCTCTGTGTGGCGGAACACCACGTGCAGGAGAAAACTGCGGCCAACTTGTTCACACGAAAGGAGGCAGTGGGACTTGGTTGTCAAGTGTCTGGAACTAAAATCGGACACTCGACTTCCCAGACGCCACTCAACTTCGCAAACACCTGCTTCCTTTCACCAAACAGCCAGGAGATCACTATTCAGTAGGTTTGTTCCCACAAACTAGGGGAACAAACGCTACCCATGAGCCAGGGAACCGTTCATGAATTTGTTCGCTTTTTAGACTTTTCGAAATAGACCGACCGCACAGCCTAATTTCATGTAACTATTTCTGGGCAGGAACCTCGTATGCGGTCAAATTAAGACTTGCATGTAACTCCCGAACACCTGAACCCATCTGGGTGATTTTTGAATATGTTGGTGCCCCAGATCAGGGCCATCAGGCGATATGACTTTTGTGGGGTTTCCACGGAGTATGGGGTACTTTCTGGGTTTTGTGGAAATGTGTGTTTTTTGTGTTTGGAGATAATTGAGTCAAGCACTATATTAAACTCAATTATCTCCCAGGCACAGGGGAAGGATTATATTATTGTATGTATTAGTGTACTGCTGTGTGAATCCAACCAATTAGAAAGGAAGGGGGTCGGAGCTTTGGATACAAATGGATAGCAAGCAGCATGAAGAGGATGTCTGAGGAAGCCCAGGTCACATGGGTGAAACGCGTTATGTCATAAGGGGGCAGAGCCAGGAACAAGGAAGTGACAGGAGAAACTGACTTTTAAACAAGTGCTTTTAGTGAGAACTTGTTTGTCACAAGCCCACATCTTGCTGAGTAGGCAGTTTTAATTGTTTTACAATAAATATATAGTTTTATACTGTGCCATTGGTGTGCTCCTGGTTGTGTCTCCAATCCAGTGCTTCAGAAGAAAGTTTGGTCTCTCTGAGGAACCAGATTGTGGGAACATTTCCCTCTCCATAGAAGCTTATCCCACCCAGAGCCAGGGTTCATTAGGCTCTGGGAAATGTGAGTGTGAACTCCCAATTTTCTATTTAAGTGTGCACTATTTTAAAATCAGATGGTCTGCACTATATTGTCTATATATGTATTTTTTTCAGATGATTTTTATGAAGGTTTACTGGTGAGATATATACTTACTAGATAAACATAGTAATACTCTAGCGCAACATCTTTTTCTGGATACGGACCAGAGAGCCAATGTAACTGCAGAATGTATTTTGTCACTGTCCCCTCTCAGATCCAGTTGGGAATGCCCCTGGAATATGTCAACATAAACCCTGTACATTGGTAACTGCATATAAACCGGGCGGTTAGCCTGAATAAACCATTCCTGTTGTACCCTTCATTTAGTTTAGGCTGATGTTTGGGTATCCGTCTGATTTGCTTGGGGAATATACCTGAATGCTGTACTTCGTCTGGAGTACGTTTAAATAGACACCCGAACTGCGAGCTATAATAACTCAACCTCTAGCAGTTCGGAGGAAACAGATGAATGGGTATCTGCAATACTAGCGTTTATTAAAAGGGGGCCACTGTATTTATTCAAAGGGAGGGAGGGAGGATGCCAGTGTATTAATTTGGGGGAGCCAGGAAACCAGTGTATTAATTTGAGGGAGGGAGGGGGCCACTATATTAATTTGAGGGAGGGAGGAGGCCAGTGTATTAATTTGGGGGAGGGAGGAGGCCAGTGAATTAATTTGGTGGAGGGAGGGGGCCAGTGTATAAATTTGGGGAGGGAAGGGGCTAGTGTATTCATTTGAAGGAGGGAGGGGGTCGGTGAATTAAATTGGGGAGGGAAGAGGGCAGTAAATTGGATTTTGGGCAATGTATTAGAATTGGGGGAGGAATTAGATTGCATCTGTATGGAGGCGCTGTACGCTCACCATGTTAATGCTGATTGGCCGCGCAGGTCTTTACCACACATGCACAATAGCCTCCCATAGCATTGGACTGGCTGAGATCATCAAGTTTGATCTCAGCCAAAGTGAAGAACACACTCATAGGACTTCAAAATCAACAACATAACATTGTTTGTTTTTTCATAGTTGGGCAACAGCATACATCCACCATTTAAGTCCCATTACCAAACTTTTCTTGATATGTCAAGGTAGTTGGACTGAAACACTGGTTATATGCACATGCATGTCTCCTTAAAATAAATCCTCTCTTTTGTTTACTTTGAAGCACTGCGGGCGCATGGACATCCCAAACACGTACATACATATACAGATTAACACAGATAAAAACATTGACACACACACACATTCGTATACACACAATGATACACAGATACACACGTACTAACACACACACACACACACTCCAATACACACAGTGACACGCACACAAACCTTGACACACACACACACTCACTGACAAGCACACATACTTTGACAGACAGACACACATACAAGCACATACACTCACTGACAAATATACACACTCACTGACAAGCACACATACACACCCACTGACAAAAACACATACTCCTTAACAGACATACACAATTTTATTTATTTAAATTTCACTCCACCCAGCCTCCCTACCTTTGGGAGTGCTGGCATGGAGTCTCTATTTCCCTGGGGGCTGCTGAGCGGCTGCATGCGGTCTCTGGGGTCCAGTGGGGCTGTTTGGCTAAGTGGCTGGCGTGCAGTCCCTGGGGTCCAGTGGGGCTGCCGGGTTGAGCGGCTGGTGTGCGGCGAGGGAGCAGTGATCTTCCTCCTCGTGCGGCTCCTAATGATGCCGGGGCCAGAGTGACGTCATATTCCGGCTCCAGCATCACTGCACTGCGCGAGAGGGAACTGAGCAGGGGAGAGTGCTCCCTCGCCGCCCCTCTCAATTATCAGCAGTGGCCATTTTGTTTCCCAAAATTGCAGCAGAACCCCATTTGTTAAACCCGTGTAAACTGACATAAATAGTAGTGCCCGGATGTCTAAGGCTCTCGTACCCTAGTCCCCTTCCTTATTGGTAATGTGGTAAATATGTAAATTACATCCATATTTGACAGCGATTGGTCTGAGTGCCTCATTTGGTTTGTAATACAATGTTTCTTATATGTGCTGCTGCTTTCCAAGATATGCATCGAAATGAAAACATGATATGTAATATAAATGCAAAAGCCTAATGGTCCTTTTTCCATAAAATTAAAATGTTAATTTCGGGTTGTGCAAATTTCTTCTAAGAAATCATTGATTTACTGTTACATTACAATAAGCTATAGGAAACACAACACTCCAAGCACCAAAACCAAAGCAGTGGTTAGGGTGCCAATTATGTCCCAACAATGTAGGTAGTTTTTAGTAACTTAAGTTCGACTTTTTAATCTTTGGTCTACCCAAAGCTGCTCCCTGACTCTCTGTTACCAATCAGTTTAAGTATTAAAAGGGACACTATATAGTCACCAGAACAACTACAGCTTATTGTATTTGTTCTAGTGAGTATATTCATTCCATTCAGGCTTTTTGCAGAAAACTTTTTTTTTTCCCCCAAGAAAAGACAATGTTTACATTAAAGCCAGGGATACCTCCACTGGTCACTCCTCAGATGGCTACTAGAGGTGCTTCCTGACATTCAGTGTCTCCACCCTCTGCATGGAGACCCTGAAATTTCAACTTTGATTCAATGGATCTCTATGAGGAGATGCTGATTGGCCAAGGATGTGCTTGACTTGTGCTGGCTCTGCTCCTGATCTGACTCAGCTATAAGAAAGCATTGTGATTGGCTGAGATCACCACTTCTGATTATGCCAGCTAAGCAGGCAGATCAGGGGCAGAGCTAGCACCAGCAGACTGGAATAAAGGTAAGACTTTACTATATTTAGGGAGGCCGGGGGGGCTAGATGGGATTTTTAACACTATAGGGCAGGAATACATGTTTGTGTTCTTGACCTTTATCACCACAGTGATTATGTAGTGGTTATGGTGTTTGGAGACTTCCTTTAAGATAACAATTAAAGTGCATTTTTCAAATCTCTCATATCATGACAATATATATAGTATATATTTCTGCGTGTTTACTTTTAAAACACACAAAATAAACAGATAAGACAGAGGACTTTTTTGTCAAAAATGTGTACTTTTATTTTGTAACCAAGGTAGAAGCAGTTTTATCTAATGATACAAAGAGAAAACAGCTGCATATAAGGTCTCATTTGTCCTTAATAGATTGAACTTATCGAACAAATGTGAAATAATTTGAAAAAAGCTCTTCTCCACAGCCTATGTCTTTGAGAGCAATTAGAACAACACATCTTAATGGTCTGAAACAAAAACAAAAATATTAAAAATATTAGATCTTCAGCATATTATACAAGATATATAATTTTGCATAGTTTACATGAAAATAATGTCACAAAGGTCTTGTGGAGAAATTATAATAAACCTTGAGCTCAGAGGTAAAGTGGTTTGTGACTATCACCAGAACATTATAATATATAACATTATAAAGGAACATTATAATGTCAGGAATACAAACATGTATTCCTGACACTATAGTGTTAATCTTGCTATTTAGGTCACACTGTGCAGCACTGACCCAGGAAGCACGTCTAGTGGCAGTTTCAGTGACTGGCACTAGAGGTGCTACTAGGCAGCAATGTAAACATTTATATTATAAAGCCTTCAGGGACAGGCTATGGACACAAAAAATAAAAAGCTGTAGTGGTCTGGTGACTATAGTGTCCATGTAAATGTATTCACTGATATTGTCGCTCTAAATGAAATGCAAAAGTACGACACGTTATCCATTTCCTTTCCATGTTACTGGAGTAAAATAAACCAGGATTAAACTAACAATCGACTTCATACTAATTAAGAAGCTGCCCAACACACCTATATTCTATAGGTGATCCCCATGTGCCACGATAATGGTGATCACGTGCCTCAGGGAGGCATTTTATAAGGCTAAAACAAATCAAATTATCAATATACATGACACAAAAAAAGGTCAAACAAAATAGGGAATTTATGTCTCTATGTTAACCCCTTTTATATGTATTCCACACAAACATTCGAAATACAAAAATGATATGCAAAAACAAAAGAGAGAGAAAGTCCCAAGTGATCCAATTGGCCATCACCTAAGTGTTAATAAAACTAAACTATAACAAAACAAACCACATATAGGCTAAAGTTAAAGAACCTAAGGAGTATATATTGCACTCACAATGAGGAAATGGTATTCAGGCGTTTCTCCCCACTAGGGGTATATCCACTCAATGTGTTCTCTTCCACGGCATATTTTTCTATGTTAGATGTAAAGTAAGATAGAAAGACACTTAGTGCAAGGATGCAAATAATTAATACTCAAACATAAAAAGAGAGAAGGCATAGCATTCTTTCCAGTAGTCTCAAGTGTGTCTTTCGCTCTTCTTTTACATCTAACACAGAAGAACATGCCACTATTGAGTGTATATACCCCTATTGGGGAGAAATGCCTGAATACCACTTCCTCATTATGAGTGCAATATGTACTCCTCAGGACTGTGGTCTATAACTTTATTACCCTATATGTGGTTTGTTCTATTGTTTTAGAGGTATTTACATCATAACTCAGAAGTAATCTCTCCTGACAAATGATGCTTATATTATATAGTTCCAGTCCAATCTCTCTCGATTTATTTTCAGCCTTCTATATATTCTTATATTTTTAGATGTGTTCATTACCACTTAGATCAGGGGTTCCCAACCCAGTCCTCAAGTATCCCCTGCCAGTCCAGGATTTAGGGATTACCCTGTTGTGTCTAAGAGTTTTTTGTTTTTGTTTCTTTTTACTAAAAATATCGACACAAATGTGTAATACCTAAATCCTGGATTGTTAGGGGGTATGTGAGGACTGGTTTGGGAACCACTGACTTAGATGATGGCTATTTGGATCATTTTGAATGTTCGCTTTTATTTTTGCATATAATTACATGCATTTTCTAAGGAAATGGAGGTGATCATCACTATTCCACCTAACAGGCGTCCAAAACCCAGTCACAGATTGGTTGCTATCATATTAATGGCAATCATATACCTAAAATGTTCACGTTATGGGGGACAATGCTTGCAAAGAAGCCCTATCCCATGAGCACTGCATACCCCACCACACATATGAATGTATGATCGCTTTATAACACCATATGTATAAGTAACAATCATATAGGCTGGACTAGTCACCACTAATTCATAAAACATTCTAATCTTACATACCGAAAGAACCCATATAGTATACACCATCTCTTATGTTATTGCAGTGAAGTGTATAACTAACAATTCTTTTTAGTAAGTTAAATATTCTCACTTATTTAACACCCCTCTTATCCAACTCGGGATTGTAGTTTTAAGAAAAATGTCCAATAAGCAACAAAAATAAAATAATACTAACCCTTCTATGTCGTGAGAATAGTTAATATTTGGAAGATACTGCCTTAATTCAACCGGAAATGACGCCGGCACATTGAATTCCTGATAACATACATTGGCAGCATACTCTGGGAAGATAAAATGTTTGTTAATATTTCTGTATGGAAAAATTTAGCTCCTAATAAAATGTTGTTCTATTAAATGTATAATCATCACAAATCACCTCAATTAAAGTCCAAGTAACTAAAGTGACTAAAATATTGTGCTTACTGCAAACTTTCAGGTTTTGCAGTGAAGTGGTAAAAATCATGCAGCAAAATGTAGTACTCAGAGTCACACACATAGCTCCCAAATGTCTATACATGCAAATTGTAGTTCAATTGGTTAGGGGCATTTTATAAGTTATCTGACCTAGCCACTTATCCTAAAGGGAAACTATAATGCTAGGAAAACTGGAAGGGTTAAAAACCTGTCTGTCCCTTGCCTGATTCCAGCTCCAATGTCCCTCAGCACTGGGTCAGTCTTCTCCTCCGGCAGTCGTCGTGGGGACCTAATGCGTATGCATGGCGAGTGCCGTGCTCGCATTAGAACTATCCAATAGGAAAACATTGCTCAATGCTTTCTTATGGGGTTTTAGATGACATTGGATGTCCTTATACAGAGTGTGAAGACGTCCAACATCAGTTTGGTGACCAGAAGTCCGCCAAGTACCCGGAAGTCTCTCTAGTTAGAGGTGGAGTTAACCCTGCAAGGGAATTATTGCAGTTTATCAATAATTACAACTGCAGGTTTAAGAGGACTGGGACATTGCATGCAGGCCACTTCAATGAGCTGAAGTGGTCTGGGTGCATAAAGTGTCCCTTTAATTCATGAAAGATGAAGCTACATAATAGAAGCTGAAGTACTCGAGAAAGTTGTGTACACTAGATTGACTGACTTTCTCAAATCCAACTCTCTGCTTGACCCCCTTCAGTTTGGATTCCGCGCTGGTCATTCTGTTGAAACAGCTGTGACCAAAGTATCCAACGATTTAATTGCTGATAAATATCGCGGCCATTACTCTGTCCTAATTCTCCTTGATCTTTATGCTGCCTTTGACACTGTTGATAATCAACAGCTTCTTTGCATTCTCCGTAATTTTGGTCTACGGGATACTGCTCTCTCCTGGTGCTCCTCCTACCTCTCACAGCGCTCTTTCAGGGTTTCTTTCTCTGACTCTTCTGTGGGCATCCCACAAGGTTCTGTCCTTGGTCCCCTACTGTTCTCTATCTATACTGCCTCCCTTGGTAAACTCATCAGCTCCTCTGGCTTCCGTAGTCATTTCTATGCAGATGACACGCAAATCTACCTGTCCTCTCCTGATCTCTCTCTGCCCATCTTGACTCGTTCCTCTGAATGCCTCTCTGCGCTTTCCAACTGGGTGGCTGCTCACTTCCTTACACTCAACCTGTCCAAAACAGAACTTCTGGTATTTCCTCCCTCAAGTGTTGCTACTCCTGTGTGTGTCTCCCTCCAAGTCAACGGCGCTACCATCACCTTTACCTCGCAGGCTCGCTGCCTGGGTGTTCTTTTTGACTCCAACCTCTCCTTCACCACTCATGTCCAATCAATTGCCAAATCCTGTCGCTTCCATCTCAAAAACAGATGGAACCCCCCTATTTAACGCCAGATGCGGCTAAGGTGCTGGTCCATGCTGCCGTTCTCTCTCACCTTGAGTACTGCAATCCCCTTCTCGTGGTCTTACGTGTTCCTAGATTGCACTGCTGCAATTAATAATGAATGCGGCGGCGAGGCTCATTTTCCTGTCCGCTCGCACCTCCCACGCCTCCCTGCAGTCCCTGCATTGGCTTCCAGTTAGATATAGGCTCAATTTAAAATTCTGGTGCTTGCTTACAAGTCCCTACACAATGCTGGTCCAACCTACCTATTCTCCCTAATACTCAAGTATGTCCTGTCGAGGCCCCTGCGCTCTGCCTCCAAGATTTCTCCAGGGCTGCACCTCTTCTGTGGAACTCCCTTCCCTACTCCGTAAGACTTTCACCCAGTCTCCACTCATTCAAAAAATCATGGAAAATTCACTTCTTCAAGAAAGCATATCAATTAAACTGTTAGCAGATTTTTATCCCCCACCCCCATGACTCCTCTCCTGCAACTGTCAAAAATTACCTACTAAGTAATTACTTTTCTAACAACCTACTTTGTACCCCTACTTTTACCCTTTGTGTAACTATACCCCACTCCCTCTAGAATGTAAGCTCATTGAGCAGGGCCTAGGGCAGCACAAAACCAGGATACACCACTGATCTGATGGCGCTATATAAATAATAAAATAATAATAAGCATGAGTTCAATCACAATTACAAGGAACAAGCCACAAACTTGTAGGATTTTTGCTTATATTTTATGTACCATTTGAGCAGTTATTTACATATTGTCCAACAGCCAAAGGATTATAGGGACATTGTGTCAACCAAGTGACATCACAAAACTTCAAAGGTCCAAGCTGATCTCTTCTACTGCAGGACCTGGAACACAGTGAATATTGATAGTCAAGCCAACACATAGGCTGGAATAATCTAGACAATTCTTATCATGTTTTAAGATCTACACCGGGACTCCAGAATTTGATACTTGTCATATTTAGTCAATGACAGCATTACTCATCTGAGAAATGTAGCAAATTAAAAAGTCAAAATTTAGGCTGTAACTACAGCTGAGTCAGGGAATTTCTCCAAGCCAACTAGGTTTAAATAAATTTCATTTTGCAAAAATTTGGAGATTAGTGTATAATAACCCTGCCAGTTATTTCAGACCATTGCACTTGGTCGCAATACTAGTATACTGGGTGGCTAGCTACAGGTTACTGTCCTGCCCCTCAGATAAAGGGTGGGTGGAATACAGGTAAAGGGATACTTCTGGCACCATAGCAGCTTCAGCTAATTGAGTTGTTATGGTTCCAGGACTCTGACACATTTGTAAAACAAAATACTGTAGTGACAAACAGGCAGAAATAAGCTCAACCTCTCTTTAAAGTCCTCCTGGTTATCACCACACAGAGCCTGCTGAATTGACTTACATGTTTTGCTCCCGAGAAGCGAGAGCTTGTAGATCCAAAGCATACTCATGTCAATAATGTTTGTTGCTGGCGGCATATAATCACGTGCAGCACTTATCAATGAGACAGAGGGGCTTTGCACTTGCAAGCGCTTGCTCCTAAGGGGCAGCATATGACAACCTCTTCCACATCAGTCCCTAATACAAACTCATTGCTATGAGTTGATACAAAAGCCAGGAAGTGTAATTCCTGTCTCTTTGATTGAAAGGGATTAGAGGCAAAGCTATGAACTATCAAGTCTAATTCTGATAATTGTAGATTATGCTAGCTTTAGTGTACCTATAATCTTAATTTTATTAATGATAGGAGGCCAGTATTTGCTTAAGTCTCTCTTTACTAGAATTCCACAGCAGCACAGAAAAACAACCAATTCTGAAAAAAGTTAGGTACTATAAAACTCCCCTCCCCATGCATCATTTCCTCTTTCAAGCTGCGACAAAACCAGAATAAAAGGCAGAAAACATAATGGGGAAGAAACAAAGGCCTAGATACGATGAATACAACGATGTCCACCATCCGAGAAGAACTGCCAAACTAGATAGCGTTGATGGACTGTAAACTGAAACGAGAGAAAAACAGAATCGAACAGGTTGATTATCCAATGAAATGTACTCTGAATAAACATGTAGGTACCCAATATAGCAACCAAAAGTACCTTAATATGTAGATATCCTAACCCTACTTATGAAAAAACAGACATAAGAACAGGCGACAGGTAGCAGAGACAACAAGCAGAGTTGCATACGTACCTGATTAATCCAAACTATTAAAATTAAACAAGGGAGGGATAAGAATGGGTGGGAAATACTCGCCTCCTGTCATTAATAAAATTAAGATTATAGGTACACTAAAGCTACCATAATCTACAATTTTATAACATGACAGGAGGCTTCGTATTTGCAGTTTTAACGCGCAGTCAACAAATCCAACGCTGTTTGTTTTGCTGGTACCTATTCCGGGAGCTATCCGAGCAATCCTAAATGGACTTTCCAACTGCGATAAATGACAATAGACCGATCGGTGAAGATGCCAGTTGACGAAGCATCCCAAATACGGAAAAAAACACCATCCGCTGATAGATCCATTGTACGTGGGGTTGCGACCTGTTTCCTACCAGCCAGTCCATGAGCTGCCAATCTGACCTATTAGCCATTTCCCTGTAGTTATAAAATGTCGAAGGTCATTTGCGGACTTAGGGCCGCGATAAGACACTGCCACCATGTTTCATCTCTTGATGTGTAAGGTGGCTCCACCGATCGTGCCCGGGTCACCCGACGATGTGGCCTTGCAGGCAGATCTTCAATCTCAAGGAATGCGCCTACGTCCACCAATTCTGCAATAGAACCGAGTAGGATATTTCATTCCCTGATGGCCTACCCGGTGAGATGTCTCAGCCGAGAATACATTTATTATGCAGGCAAGAGTATGGCAAACTAGCTCTATCTCAAGTGATTCCAATATTCCAACTGGACTGTGTTGACTCCAAAAAGGACGTCCAATCAGGGTCCCAAACTGAACTTATGTGGTAGAACGGTGGTCGACTATTCTGGAAATAGCGGGTCCCAGAAATATTCAAAGGGATGGGAAACGTAAACCAGAGTTGAGATTCCCATCCAGAGGTCAACGTCTAAGAGTGATAAGATGTACGGATCCAATGGCAATTGGGACCTGTATAACAACAAAGAGTCCTCACGTGCTGTAGTGAGAGAGTGAAATAGTCCGACTACCCGTCGTACGATCCTGTTCCATGCCCGACCTGTCAAAATTCGTGTAGGGGTTCCTGGTATACACGCCACCTACAAGATAGGGTATAATATAGTGAGACCCTTAGGTCCCTGTACCCATGACTGTCCGGGCGCGTATCTCCCAGAGTAGGCCCTAGGTCAAGGGACCCAGGAATGTGATTTTGATAATTGAAGTCAAAGTCTCCCTATAGAGGGATACCTCCCTTCTTAGCTTGGAGTCCCGCGAACACATAGCATTCTCCAATACGCAGGCAAGGCGTAAAGTCCCTTCGCTCATGACAGGTGACTCCAGAGAGCAGATATAGCGAAAAAAGAAGGGTCTAGCTTCAGCCGTCCGAAACATGTGTTGTCCCATTTGAGAATGTGGGCAGCCCTATCTGAGTCTGCTACACATCCTGAGCCGTACTCCAGTGGTAGGTTGTGACCCGACTTTGACGTCTGTGTAGGAGTCGGGGCACACCAGGTTCCTCCATAGAGTCTCGCAGGTCTCCTTGATGGTAGTTAAAAAGGTGGGTTAGCGCGAACCCAAACCAAAACGGCTCCCATGAGGGATATACAGAGTATAGACGGAGGGCCCTCCATCTCCGAACCATGTTCTCCAGGTATGTGCTCAGAGGAGTAGGGGCTGTCCTGCCATCTTATCCCAAGATTGTAATGACCAGGGAACACAAGACAACCAGGGTTTCCGGTCTTACCATGCGATCCATGCGTATGGTGTACTTTTAGACCGGGTAGTAGGCCTTCCCTAGTTTTGTTACCCGAGCAAGGCAGTGCCCGTTTGCTCCATGAAGGTCTCCGTATCTCATGTCATCTTGATATGGGAAAACTGTCTGCGCAGTTTGTTCGCAATGGTCCGGATATCCAAAACAGAATGCAATTCTCTGTTTTATATAGCGCAGATTATACCAAAACCTGCACTCTTGTAATACCTGAGGCTCACCCGTTAGCCGTACCGTCTCCAGGAGTGTGTGTAAATAAGTGGGAGTCTCGCCCCGTAATACCACTGTAAGTATTTCTCACGTGTGGTACAGTGGTCTGGATCCAGTAGATCCATTACAGGAGATAAAATAGAGGGATCCAGTCTAAATATGTATATCCTGCATGATCAGGCAGCCCTCTATAACGAAATCAGTAGCACGGTCGTTAGATCTAATTGAATGCAGGAGGGATGCCCTTCTATGCAGTCATCGAGGTCTTGTACAGGTACAAGCTTGTGTGATGAACAAATGGACGGCACCGTAGAGCGTTGAGTGTATGACAGAGCTGCACTCTCTAATAATGTGACCGAATTCCGTGTCAGCATGCGGCTGATAGCCTGAGCGGGCCGCACCCGTTAATAACCAAACAGTAGAGTCTACATTCGTGACCGGTTCTCTCTATGAGAATGTGTCACTCCAAACATGTCCTCTGTATCCCGCTCAGTATCGGGCTGAGGTTGAGGGAGGGCCGTGCCCTCTAATAACAAATCAGTGTCCGGTTCTGTATATGAGAGGGGTTTGCTCTCTGTTCCTGAAAATAAAATAACATTCTCGGATCGAGGTGATGGAGGGCCGCACCCTCTTGTGATCCAAACTAGACTCAGGGTGACCAACTGCAGTGGTACACCAATTACTAATATCAGCATAAGACTGAGGTCCTTAGGTGGGTCTCTCCCCGACCACGAGACCTCTCTCTGAATCGCTCACCTGAAAAGGAATCAACTGGTAGTAAACCAGGCCGATGGCAGATGGGATAGTATACAACCTCGGGCCGTGTCCATTCTTAATAACAGAAAGGGATGGTGCGAAAATGCAACCTTCGGAAACTATGATGGAAACTACCAACTGACCGCCCGGATCCCGTGCGCGGGGTCCAGGATGACAGTCGGTAGCCTGAGGAAAGCTGGAGACGTTCTCCGCAATCCACGAGCGCCCGGAAGGTCGGAGGAGGTCAAGTCAGGCCTCTCGACGACCCGAGCGATAGGAAAAGGAAGGCACGAAAACAAAAACAATAAGAAATGTAGATAAAGGTAAATACGTAAATTCTAACTCGGATAGAAGGCAAATAGCAGGCCGGAAGGCAAGTCAAGTAAGCCCCACTGAACAGGGCCAGGAGCTAACCTTAGGAATAACTACTGATATCTAGATGGACATCGGGAGGCAGTTAGAGGGTTAGTTGTTAAAGACAAGGAAACACTGTGTCCCCCTGTAGGCGTCTGAGTACCGGTCCCTGCCTATGCGAAGTTCTCCTTGGAGATGTGCCATTGCCGGGCTGGTGTAAACCGTGGATGCGTGCCCGGGGTCTTCATAAGAAACCTTGCCCTTCAGGCATGAGGTTTAGGGCCTTCACCCTTCCCACCATACTCAGGTGGCCGTATACTGGCGTCCTCTTGGATAGTATGGCAACGGTGCTTGCCTGGACACCTGCCTATCTCCATGTCACTGGTGGATACTAGGTTTTCATCAGTGATATTCCCCCAGGCCTGCTGCCAAAAGGGGGTTCAGCACCAATAGAGCAGGCCCATCAGAAGGGCACAGGCCCAGCAGGCCAAACGAATGGGCACAGAATAGTTGGCCATTCAAATAGGCACAGACATAGCAGGCCATTCAAATAGGCACAGACATAGCAGGCCAATCAATGGGGCACAGACATAGCAGGCCAGTCAATGGGGCACAGACATAGCAGGCCAATCAATGGGCACAGACATAGCAGGCCAATCAATGGGGCACAGACATAGCAGGCCAATCAATGGGGCACAGACATAGCAGGCCAATCAATGGGGCACAGACATAGCAGGCCAGTCAATGGGGCACAGACATAGCAGGCCAGTCAATGGGGCACAGACATAGCAGGCCAGTCAATGGGGCACAGACATAGCAGGCCAGTCAATGGGGCACAGACACAGCAGGCCAGTCAATGGGGCACAGACACAGCAGGCCAGTCAATGGGGCACAGACACAGCAGGCCAATAAATGTGGCACAGACACAGCAGGCCAATAAATGGGGCACAGACATAGCAGGCCAATAAATGGGGCACAGACATAGCAGGCCAATCAATGGGGCACTGACATAGCAGGACAATCAATGGGGCACTGACATAGCAGGCCAATCAATGGGGCACTGACATAGCAGGCCAATCAAAGAGGCACAGACAGAGCAGGCCCGTGATAGCGTTCCGACAGCCGTAGGGCCCATCTGTGTGTGTAGAGTCCACTATATATATATATATATATATATATATATATACACACACACACATACACGTAATGAAACAGGGAAACCTTGGGTTAAATAATTTCAATATGTAAAACCCACTAGCAGGGTAGTAATGTGATTATAACAGTATTTTTACATAATACCTCTGGATTAAGTTGCTATAATGTCTCCAGTCTAATATCACAGAAGTTACAGCTACTAGTGAGGAAGTGCTATACCACTATACAGGGAACTGGCAGACTTTAATGTTTGGCCAAAGGCAGAAAACCAAACTGCAGGCATCTCAGAGCAGTACAGGGTGTACTGCCTAAAGCCTACTCTCCAGCCCAGCAAAATATTTATATAAAATTATATAAATGTGGAGTCATCTTGGGTTATAGATTAACCCTGAGCAGGGTGAAGGGCCCTCATCTGATATAAAAAAAACTCAGGCCGTGATCGGAATCCGGCCTTGATTGACAGAGGGGAGGAAAGCCCCTCAAACAGACCTCCAACCAGTTAGGAACTGACGGGGGGAGGGGCTGCGAGCGGTCGCATCCTCCCCCGTCCGGACACACGCGTCCGCGGCGAAGCGGCCATGTGGATAAGGAGATCCGGCCGCCAGGTGCTCGTCTCGAGCTCCCCTGCGGCCGGAAAAAACACACACAGGACCGGTGAAGATGAACTCTGCGGTCCCGGAGCTCGGGGAGGCAGATGCAGTCAGCCTCCTGAAGCCCCCGAGCGGCGCACACAGACACCGCCAGACATAAGGACAAAGGCGGAACAAAACAATATAACAATGAGCATACACAAAGTTAGGAGACCGACGGGGGGACAAGGCCAAGGGGATAGAGGGGACAAGAGGACCCCAAAGATCCTCCAGAAATCCAAACTAAATATGTATATAACAGTGATGGCCCGAAGTTTCAAGTAAAAAAGTCCCACAGGGGTTTTAACAAAACTGCATGTGTAAGGAAAATTTACACATGGCCAACGTAATACTGCATATAAAATGAATCCCACAAGGCCTAAATAAAAAAATATTGAAGAAATAAATCCCACAAGGAACATAACAATATTGTATTATAAAAATAAAATTCCACAAGGATTCTAACAGTACTGCATTATAAATATAATATCCCACATGGACTATAACAATACTGCATTATAAAAATAAAATCCCACAAGGATTATAACAAAACTGCATTATAAAAATAAAATCCCACATGGATTATCACAACACTGCATACAGGAATAAAATCATACAATGATTATAACAATACTGCATTCATAAAGCAAAAATACTGAATATAAGCAATAAAATCCCAAAGCCACCCACTATAACCAGGAGGCAGTGGTACTCTGACCTTTACTGACTGCAGAGCAGCAAAGAAAGAGGAAATGATGCAATGGGAAGGGGGTTTTATAGTACCTAACTTTTTTCTGATTGGTTGTTTTTCTGTGCTGCTGTGGAGTTCTAGTAAAGAGAGACTTAAGCAAATACGAAGCCTCCTGTCATTTTTTTGACAAATATGTCACACAAAATGCTGCACACACTGTTCATGGCACCATAATCACTGATATAAGCTGAAGTGCCTATGGTGTCTAGAGTGTTCCCTTTCATTTTCATTTACCAGAGGACCCCCTATGCTCAGAGGGAGTTATTTTGTGAGTGAACAAGCCTAACAGTGAACAAAGGAGCCGTGTTTAGATTAGGTGTGCATTATGTGGTTTGCACATTTAAAATGAATCCCACAACAAAAATATTTCAGGGAACCTATAAAAAGCTACAGGCAGCTGCAAAACTCATCTTACCATGCAGAGCCTCCCACGTCCCAAATTACTCGAACACCCTCTACATTTCCTAGCATGTAGTCTAGGAGTTGCAGATACCTTGATAGCTGCTCATTGACTCCATATACCTGTATGTACTCCTATGTATGTACTAAGGAAGTCAGAAAATGTAAATGGAAATAATGTTTTAGCTAAGCATTTGAAGTTTGAATTGTCAGAAATTCAAATTATTTTTCAAAGTTTCTCAAACACTGAGGGCAGATGGCTTTCCATACCAAAATCCTGAAATATGAGCCTTGGTGGCAGAAATTTATTTATTTTTAATAAACATTTTGTTTCCCCCAATGTTTCTTCAAAACCAAAAAGATATAAAGTGCATAAATGAATAAATCTCAGAATTTTGGATTATAAAAAAGGTATGTATTGGGGTAAAGCATGACAGATATTATACAATATTTCCCTCTTTGTTACCAAAATGTAAAATTATATTTATCATGATGTTTCTTACCTGTACACAGTCTTAGAGATTCCTTTATCATTCCCATCAATAAAAGTACCATCAAGACACCTAAAAATAAATTGGTTTCCAATAGATTGAAAAAATATAGGTTCGTAATTCTGATAGACTGTACCTATGGAAGAAAAAAGTGTGGATTAATAAATTCTATTTGTGGGATCTTTTTTAAACTATGCTCTCCACAATGGTCAAACATCTTTCTATCTGCAGAACTTGTATGCATAAATTATGCATTTTAAAGGGACGATATAGTGACCAAAACAACTAGATCCTAATGTAATTGTTCTGGTGTCAACAGCATGTCCCTGCAGGCTTTTTAATGTAAACACTGCCTTTTCAAAGAAAAGGCAGTGTTTACACTGCTGCCTAGAAATACCTCTAGTGGCAGTCATTCAGACGGCCACAAGAGGTGCTTTCTGGGTCAATGTTGTAAAGTGTGCAGAATTGGCATTCAGTGTCTCCATCCAGTTCACAGAAACGCTGAATGCTATCAATAGAGATGCATTGATTCAATACATCTCTATGAGGAGATGCATTGATTCGATACATCTCTATGAGGAAATACTGATTGGCGCAGCGTGGCATTTTGTCACATATGTGCAATAGCCTCCCAATGATTTCCTAAGTGACAGCATTGAATTGGCTGAGATGTCAGGAATACGTTTGCCTTCCCGACACTATAGTGTTCCTTTTAGTACAAATCATTTTTGTCCAGAATTTCTTGACAGATTATATTGACAGTATTCAAAGATTGGACCTGCACACTAACATCATATTAAAGGAACACTGTAGGCAACCAGACCCCTTCAGCTAATTGAAGTGGTCTGGGTGCTGTCTCCCTATTGCACTTAGTACTGCAATGTTTACATTGCAGTTCCAGAGACCTGCAATGTTTACATTGCAGCTTTAAGTCTGCCCTCTGTTGCTGTCTAGCAGACAGCCACTGGGGGCCCTTCCGGAATCCAAACTGACTTTTGGTCCGTTATCTGACGCTGGATGTCCTCACGGACCTCCAGTGCCAGATTTTCCCCATAGGAAATCATTGAATAATGCACGTGCCCTTTGCCGCGCATGCACATTAGGTCTCCCCCGCCAATGGGGGAGGAGCATAGGCGGAGCCTGACTTAGCACCGAGTGACATAGGCGCTGGATTCAGGTAAGTGGCTGAAGGGGTTTTAACCCCTTCAGCCCCGCGGGAGGGAGGTTGCGAGATGGGGCACTATAGGATCCCTTTAAGCTAGCATAGCATGTATGTCAAATACCAGTATGTGCTAGTTATTGCAAGATTCTAAGGGAGGGGCAATTATAAACCAATGGTTTCTATGGTGATCATTCCACATTTAGATCTTTGGACTACTTGCAACATTTTTGTAAGCCCCCCTCTTTCCCATATGGCTCTATATGCCAAGGATGCAAGTTACAGAAAGCAACTTCACTCTAGCTTGTAAACTACAGTTATACTGGCTTGTGTGGTATGTGCATATCTTTGTCTCTCAATTTTCTCACTCATCAATCCCACAATGTCATTGGGATGGCCTTCGTACTCAACAGACCCAAATCCAAACTTCAAGTAAGCATATATTTTAATCTATACATAAGCTGGCAATATTGCTAGCACAAAGTATAGATTGAATTTTAATACTTACCCCAAGTGGAATATGGGTCCTCTTTAAACATACATCCAATATAAAATTGAGAAAACGCATAAATCATTTGATAAAGATGCTACGAGTACCAGGGTACATGGACACGACTGCTCCTTTCTGCACTCTTCCTTTGCAAACAAACACCCCAGCTCCGGCCGACCTCAGTGTACTTGGACCCCGCACAATGCAAAATCCCAGAGAATTATATACTATGTCTTCTGCCCTCAGATGGTTATTCTCGGGAGAACAAGAGAATGTCTGGGTCTCCTCAGCCATTGAATGCCTATAAATGGATTTAGTAGCTTCAGGAAGTATATTAAGAAGGTCGCTTTGTCTGTGTAAATCTCCAATAAACAGAGCCTGGAATACATTGGCCAGTGTGGTATAAACTGCTGTATCAGAAACCATCTTGTCATTGCAGCCTTCAGGAACGTAACGCACTGTCCTACGAAGATAAAAGGATCTCAAAAAAAATGACAGAAAAAGCAGAAAAATACTGTTTGAAACGTACAAAGCATTGGACAAAAAGATTTATTCGATACATACAGAATACAAACCAAATTGTAAAATGCATGCTAAAATAGCCAAGCAGTGGATCTAGTAGAGATGGAGATTTTTTTTCCATGTCAGCTATGGTTGCTTAAATGTCGAAATTCAGTTTTCAATTCACTGTTCAGTGACAAAAATCTCATCAGTTTACATACAAGGTTATTCTTTAACCCTTTAAGGACACGACATGTGTGACATGTCATGATTCCCTTTTATTCAAGGAGTTTGGTCCTTATGGGGTTAAAAGACCACTGACGTCACCCAGGACACGTCATATCAATGAAGTGGCCTGAATGCTGTGTTCTTGTAGGTTTAACCCCTTAACCCTGCGGTGTAAAAGATTACAATTATTTTTTTTTTTTTAAACTGCAATGTTTACATTGCAGGGCTAAACACGCCATCAGTGGTTGTTACACTGAAAGCCATTGGAAGTAAAACTCGCTCACATTACTGCAGCTCCTATGGGTAAATCTGATGCATGCGCCACACTTGTGGCTTTTGCACATCTGGTCCCCAATGCTCCTCTAGGACCGACTCCAGATGAGGCCTGCTTGAACTGGACCGACTCCAGTTGAGACATGCCTCATCCTTGACACAAGGAGAGGTAAGCAGCACAGAGGGTTCCTTCGCACTGGAAAAAGATAACTAAATACCATCTAATTGTTTTGTTTTTTTATGGCGCACAGCAGAGGAAGGGGTAGAAGGATTTCCTACCTAAAGTCAGGAACACTTGGAATACAGGTTTATAAACACTTTAATTTTCCTTTTAAAGAAGCCCTCCAAACCCGAAGAGCACTTGGTAACTGCAACGCATGCTCCCAACTTCCTAGCGCTTAGAGAAGGCCAGGAAGTGATCCGCACTGATAATCCGTGGTAGGTGGGGAGGAGAACTTCTTGCTGCTGGATTACAGGTAAATAATGCTTTATTTAGGGAAGTAGGGGGCTGCAAAAATCTACAACACGTAATGTTACAAACACAATTTTATTTGTAATGCTGGAAGGTTCCTTTAAAGGGACACTATTGTCAACAGAACAACTACAGCTTATTGAATTTGTTCTGGTGAGTAAGATCATTACCTTCAGGCTTTTTGCTGTAAACACTGTATTTTCAGAGAAAATGCAGTGTTTACATTACAGCCTAGTGATAACTTCACTGGCCACTCCTCGGATGGCTGTTAGAGATCCTTCCTGGGTCATGGCTGCCTAAAATGCATCCAAAGATTCAGTGTCTCCTCCCTCTGCGTGGAGACACTGAACTTTCCTCAGAGAGATTCATTGATTCAATTAATCTCTATGAGGAGATGCTGATTGGCCAGGGCTGTGTTTGAATTGTGCTGGCTCTGCCCCTGATCTGCCTCCTTGTCAGTCTCAGCCAATCCTATGGGGAAGCACTGTGATTGGATCAGGCCACCACTTCGGATGATGTCAGAGGTAGTTCACAGGCAGAGGGAGCAGCTTAAGACTTCAATACAAGTAAGATTTTACTATCTTTAGGGAGGCAAAGGGAGCTAGATAGTGTTTTTAACACTATAGGGTCAGGAATACATGTTTGTGTTCCTGACCCTATAGGGCTCCTTTAATATACTTTTGCCCCATCCTTGATTTGATGTACACTGTTGTGCAATTGTTTGAAAAAAGTGCTTTAACCCCTTAAGACCGCAGGGCATTCTATGCCATCCTTATTTAGATGGCTCTAAACGCTGCAGGGCAGCATAGAACGCCCTGCAATCTTTTGTACTTACCCGGTTGCCGGCGATCGCGGTATGGGGATTTACCTGAGAGCCCAGGAAGTCCCCCTCCGTCCTCTTCAGCCCCCCTGGGCCATGTGATCACGAGGTCCTTGCGAGGACCCCGCAATCACATGGACGGCATAGCCGTCCAAGGCATTGCCAGCAGGGTGAGCGCCTGTAATGACCTGCCTGACAACCGAGGCCGAAAGTTCAGGGAATTTACTTTTCTAGCACTATATTTAACCCTGTAACTTTCCAAGACACCATAAAACCTGTACACGGGGGGGTACTGTTTTACTCGGAAGACTTCGCTGAACACATATTAGTGTTTCAAAACAGTAAAATGTATTACGACGACGATATCGTCATTGACAGTTTTTGCATTTTTCACACACAAATGGCACTTACACTGACGATATAATAGTTGTGATACGTTTTACTGTTTTGAAACACTAATATTTGTGTTCAGCGAAGTCTCCCGAGTATAACAGTACCCCTCATTTACAGGTTTTATGGTGTTTTTAAAGGTTACAGAGTCAAATATAAGGCTTGCGTTTCAATTTTTTCACATTAAAATTCGCCAGGTTGCCTTTGAGACCGTATGGTAGCCCAGGAATAAAAAATATCCCCATGATGGCATACCATTTACAATAGTAGACAACCCAGGGTATTGCAAATGGGGTATGTTCAGTCTTTTTTAGTAGCCACTTAGTCACAAACACTGGCCAAAATTGGCGTTCAAATTAGTTTTTTGCATTTTCAAATATTAACACTAACTTTGGCCAGTGTTTGTGACCAAGTGGCTATTAAAAAAGACTGGACATACTCTATTTGCAATACCTTTGGTTGTCTACTTTTGCAAATGGTATGCCATCATGGGGGTAATTCTTATTCCTGGGCTACCATATGGTCTCAAAGGCAACGTAACCAATCTGGCGAATTTCAATGTGAAAAAAATGAAATTTGTAACACGCTATATTTGACCCTGTAACTTCCCAAAACACCATAAAACCTTTACATAGGGAGTACTGTTTTACATGTGAGACATCGCTGAATACAAATATGTGTATGTTACTACAGTAAAAGCAAACAGTATTTTGACATTCACAGTTAAAATGTCACGTAGAACTAAGAAAATGTAAAAAAAAATCTTATTTTCTCCCATTTTTTTCATATTAAATTATGTTCCATACCTAAATATTTGATGTTAAATGAAAGCCCTGTTTCCCCTGAATAAAATGATATATAATAAGTGTGGGTGCATTTAATATGAAAGAGGTGAATTAAGGTTGGACAGACATGTAGCGCAAATGCCAGGTTTTGTTTACATTTTGTTTTGATCACAAGTTGTACATTTGGCTGCGGTCTTAAGGGGTTAAAGTAAAACTGCTTTCAAAACTAGAAATGTTAATAGTTTCTTTTTATCTATTCACACAATGCAAAGTAAGTGAAAGAATACAAAATCTAATCAGTATATGATTTAGATTTTATTTCTTCTATAAAACACGTTTTTATTCAACTTTAGTCCCTTGCTGACGCAATTTTCCCACAGCTATGTGTTTTCCCAACTAGGATAATCAGCGATGATGAGGATCTCAGCTAATCCAATACTTCCCAATAAAAAAAAAAAGCAAGTGGGGACTAATGCCAAACTGCGCCAATTAGCATTTCGTCATACAGATACATTACATAAAGGCATTTCTTATGTGGAGTTTGAAGACACTGAACAACGTTGTCTGCATATATTGTAGGGCTGCACCTCTAGAGATTGTCTGAGCAACAAATATAAATACTGCCTGTATATAAATAAACACACACACACACACACACAGACTGCCTGCATATAACACACACACTGAGACTGCCTGTATATAACACACACTGAGACTGCCTGTATATATCACACACACACACACTGAGACTGCCTGCATATAACACACACCCTGAGACTGCCTGTATATATCACACACACACAGAGACTGCCTGTATATATCACACACACAGAGACTGCCTGTATATATCACACACACACAGAGACTGCCTGTATATATCACACACACACAGAGACTGCCTGTATATATCACACACACAGAGACTGCCTGCATATAACACACACACACAGAGACTGCCTGTATATCTCACACACACACAGAGACTGCCTGTATATCTCACACACACACACTGAGACTGCCTGTATATC